GCTGAGGGCAGGTGGTGCCAGGCTGGGGGAGGGGAGTGCCAGGCTGGCAAGGGTTTGGCAGGACGATGGCTGTGAGTGAAAACTCTGAAGACAAGAAGGAGAAAGAGAAACAAATGTCAGGTTCTCTCCCTGGCTCTGGAAGGGGAGTGGGGTCTGGTGGGTTAGAGCATAGGGGGCTGGGAGCCAGGACTCCTGGGTTCTCTCCCCGGCTCTGGGAGGGGAGTGGGGACTGGTGGTTAGAGCAGGGGGGGCTGGGAGCCAGGACTCCTGGGTTCTCTCCTGGCTCTGGCAGGGGAGTGAGGTCTGGTGGTTAGAGCTGGGGGGGCAGGACTCCTGGGTTCTCTCCCAGCTCTGGCAGGGGAGTGGTGTCTGGTGGTTAGAGCTGGGGGGGGGGGGGGGGGGGCGGGGGGTCCCCCCGGGGTGGGGGGGGGGGGGGGGGGGGAGGGCTCCGGGGTTCTCCTCTCCCAGGCCAGCAGCAGTGCTGTGCGGGGGGCTCACCATTCGCTGTCCCCCCCCAGATGTACGGCCGGATATACCGGGTGGTGGAGCCCAAGCGTGCCCGCATGAACGCCGCCATGGCCCAGCTGGCCGAGAAGCAGGCTTCGCAGGCCGAGGCACAGGAGAAGCTGCGGGAGGTCGGTGTGCCCAGGGGCGGGGGGGGGTGCTGGGCTGGGCGTGGCGCTGAGGGGCTCACGGCTCTGGCCCCCCAGGTGGCGGAGAAGCTGGAGCGGCTGAAGCAGGAGTACGAGGAGAAGCTGGCGCAGAAGGAGGACCTGCGCAAGCGCTCCGAGGAGATGGAGATCAAGCTGGACCGCGCCGACAAGCTGGTGTCCGGGCTGGCGGGGGAGAAGGCGCGCTGGGAGGAGACGGTGCAGGTAGCGGGGCTGGGGGCAGGGATCCCAGTGGGGAGGATCTGGGGGGCAGGGGCTCGGGTACAGCAATGTCATAGCCAGGCCAGGGGGCAGGGATCCCAGCGGACAGGATCTGGGAGGCGGGGATCCCAGTGGGGGGGGGGGGGGGGGGGGGCGTGGATGGGAGGGGGGGCAGGGGGGCGGGGCTCCCGGCGGCGCAGGGCTCTCAGCCGGGCTGTCTCCGCAGGGGCTGGAGGAGGACCTGGGCTACGTGGTGGGCGATTGCCTGCTGGCCGCTGCCTTCCTGTCCTACATGGGGCCCTTCCTGTCCGGCTACCGCGATGAGATCGTCTCCAGCATCTGGATGAAGCAGGTGTCTGGCACCCGTGGGCCCTGGGCATGGCACCCCGAGCGCTCGGAGCCCCGGCTGCCGCCGTCCCTGCCCGGCGCTCTGCCTGGGGGTCGCCCCCTCCGGCCCCACATGTTCCCAAGGCTCCAGGGGGCAGGCGGGCTCGCTGCCTTTGAGCCACGCTGGCCAAGTCCTCCCACTGGGCTCCGGGCGCTTGCCCCTGTGAGCCCAGCGCCATGGGACAGCCAGGGGGCGGGCAGCCCCGGTCACCCTGTGCTCTGTGCCCGCAGATCCGGGAGCTGCAGGTGCCCTGCTCGCCACGGTTCACCTTCGACAGCTTCCTCTGCAACCCCACCATCGTGCGCACCTGGAACCTGCAGGGGCTGCCCTCCGACGCCTTCTCCACCGAGAACGGGCTCATCGTCACCCGCGGCAACCGGTGAGGGGCCCAGCCTGGCCTGGCCTGGCCGCCGGCCTGCCTCCAGTGCTCCCGGCCCCGCCCCATCCACTGCCCCTGGCCCTGTCCCCGTCCACCGCGCTGCCCCCATCCCTGTCCCCGTCCACCGCACTGCCCCCGTCCCTGTCCCCTTCCATCGCGCTGCCCCCGGCCCTGTCCCCATCCACCGCGCTGCCCCCGTCCCTGTCCCCGTCCACCGCACTGCCCCTGGCCCTGTCCCCGTCCACCGCGCTGCCCCCGGCCCTGTCCAACGCACTACCCCCAGCCCTGTTGTTATACCAATAAAAACTAACAGGATCTTATTAAAGGGGACAAGATAAAGATGCCACATTTATTATGATAATTTGATTTATGACTAATAACTAATATCTTAATCCTTATACACACACATTATACCTAATACCTATACACACATACACATTCACACACACACACATCCATCAGATGTTCTGCAGCTGCTGCATTGTTACCAGTCCTGCTTGAGTCTGTGGCTTGAGTTTGCAGCTTGGGTTCGTAGCTTGTGGCGGCTAACTGGCCAGGAAAGCCGGGCACAAGGACGAGCTGGGTCTCTGTTGGGCATGCACCGATGCCCTTCCATGTTGGCAGCAGAATGTTACCCTCCTCCAAAGTTTTCCATCTCACCCATCCTTTTTGTAGGCTTTAGTTTGAATCCAGAGTCTATAGGTCTTGCTGTGTCATGCTGCCTCTGGGTTTGGTGATTGATCACCCGTCAATTGCAGACATGACTTTCAGCCTCGGACCGGGCTTTGATCTTCCTTCTATTGTACCTTTTCTTTTTAGGGTGGATTCTTCTTACTTTGTTAGGGCTCTTGTCTGCATCTTCAGCCGTTTGTGTTTGAACTCTATTTAATCAGGACAGGCTGGGGCTGGAGGTTGATTCCATCATCCATACATACCTCATTCACACATCTAAACTAAACTAATAAGATTACAGCAGGGTTTGCAAAAATGAAGGTTGCAGCAAGCCCTTACAAAATGGAGTAAGCGTTTAAAAATGGGGTTTGAATTACAATATGGCAAACAGTGAACAGAAGTTACAATATAGACAAGTATAATGGATGGCAAACAGCGAACAGAAGTTACACTGTAGGCAAGTGTAATAAATGGTGAACAGAAGTTACAATACTGAAACAGTGCAAGTCTCTACACTACAGGATTAATCCGAATTTAGATAATTCGAATTTGGGAAACAGGTTGTATAAATTCGATTGTGCGCGGCCACACTAAGCACCTTAATTCGGTTTTTAAGCACATTAATTCGGTGGTGTGCGGCCACACTACCCCATTAACTTAAACACAGTAATTCGGTGGTGTGCGGCCACACTAACCTTAATTCGAATTAACAAAATCGATTTAGGCTCTACTCCGTTCGTCGAGGTGGAGTACAGAAATCGATTTAAAGGGCCCTTTAATTCGAATTAACTGGCTCTGTAGTGTGGACGGGTGAAGGGTTAATTCGGATTAA